GCGGCGGCAGGCTCGGTCCCTGGGCGGCCGGGGGCGTGGGGAAGCAGCCAATCGACGCGTCTGTCTCACCTGATGGACCCCTCTCTCCCCCCACCCCCTCCCTTCACTCTTCATAAAAATCAATGGAGACAAGTAGCCCTGGGTGAGGATTAACAACTACAATAAAGTCCTAAGAAACAAAGTGCTTTTGGGCGGTCAGGTTGCGATGCCTTCGCAGGTCTCTCTGAGGTTGGCAGAGTCGAAGAGTTTCTCCCGAGTTCGAGGGTCCCCTCCTGCCGGTGCAGAGCAGGGGCGATCGGAGTCGCAGCAGCACCTCTGCGGAGTGGGAATCCTGGCGGCGCTGGCGGCCGGGCGTCCCTGAGACAGCAATGAGAGACCGGGGACGCTCCTGTGCCCTCAGCAGCTGTCAACTGATATTGTTGCAGAAACTAGGCCCGGCCAGCCTTCCGGATTCCGGACCATAGACAGTTCCTGAGCGTTAAACAGTGGGTAGGCTACAAGCTGTGCCTGGGTCTCCGGGGTCCTTCTTTTTCATTTTCTCTCCTCTTCTCTTTTCTCCCCTTTCTCTTTCCTTCCTTCCTTCCTTGATTTCCTTTTGAACTTCTCCGATAGGTTTCCTGGCCATATCAGTGTTTTCTAGGACCTACAGAACGAAGCTTTCCAAGATTTTCTTATCAAATCTGCTTTAAAAAGCAAGGAAGGAAGGAAGGAAGGGGAAAGAAAATACAGTGTTTACACATTTTAATACCTCCAGATGAGATATACTTTTCTGTACCAGGTTTTCATTACAACTTGTGTGTAAAGAGGTTTTTTTTTGTGTTTTTTTTTTTTTTTTGTAAGGATAATGATGAGAAGACTTTTAATTTTGCCTTTGGCTTAGTGGTGAACAAAGAAGGGCAAGAGTGGATATGCTTTGGGAGAAAATAATGAATTGTTTTCCATTGATTCCTGGCATTTTAAAAATATGATCAATTTTTCTTTCTTTTCATTTAGAATTTGAATAGTAAGCTATCATTCATTCAGTTAGAAATACACTGAAATCTATGAGCTGCAAAACAATGTGCTGGGGCAAGGGAGTAGGAGAGAGTAAGACACTATGGTGCTTGGGGCAGATGGTATATTAGTTATTTATGCTGCATAACAAACTATCCCAAAACTTAAAAGCTTAAAACAGCACACACAGACTTTCTCACATTTCCCTCCGGCCGGTAATTTAAGCCGGCTTAACTGGGTCCTCAGCTTCAGGGCGCTTGCAAGGCTGTGGTCAAGTTGGGACTATCTCCCATGTCAGCTGGGTAGGATTCGCTTCCAAGCTCATTCAGTGCTTGGCCGTGTTCAGTTCCTGCAGGATGGCTGGACTGGGGGCCTCTGTCCTTGCTGGCTGTCAGTGGGAGGATGCCCTCAGTTCCTTGCCATTTGGGCCTCCCCAACACCGCAGCTTGCTTCATCAAACCCAGCAAGAGAGAGTCTGCTCTCAAGATGGAAACCACAATCTTTTATAAACTAATCATGTGACATTCTTGTCACTTACAAAATATTACTTTTAAAATTACAATATCACTTGTGCTATATACTGTGGTTAGAGGAAAGTCACTAAGTTCAGCCTCCAGTTAAAGGGAGGGGATTGCACATGGATGTGAATACCAGGAAGCATGGATTATTAGGGGGTCATCTTAGAAGTCTGGCTACCATGAATATTAACCCCTTCCCCGGCAGAAACGTGTATACTCGTTTTCACAAAATGTTCTTTTTCAGTCGTCGACGAGTATACTAAGAAAATATGGTAAAAAAATATGGTTTATCACAACATTGCCATATACCCTAGCATTGCAGGGTTGAGCTCAAGAGTTGAGACCATAGGCCAGGGGTGGGCAAACTTTTTGACTCGAGGGCCACAATGGGTTCTTAAACTGGACTGGAGGGCCAGAACAAAAGCATGGATGGAGTGTTTGTGTGAACTAATATAAATTCAAAGTAAACATCATTACATAAAAGGGTACAGTCTTTTTTTTTTTTAGTTTTATTCATTTCAAACGGGCCGGATCCGGCCCGCGGGCCGTAGTTTGCCCATGGCTGCTCTAGAGTCAAGGAAGGGCTTTATTGAAGAATTGGTTTGAGTGAGTGTTAAAGGATGAGCAGGACGTGACTAGGTGAAGAAATGAGTGGGAGTAAATGACCATCTAAGACTGTGCAGCATGAGAAGACCAGAAAAATCAGAGTCACTGGATGAGCCTAATGAGATTTGGCAGGGCCAGATCCTGTACAGTTTTATGGGCTTTGGTCTATCCTAAGAGCTGTCCCAAAATGTGTGTGATTTTAAGGACTCAACATTAAATATTTATGGGCCACCTTTACTGTGCTTAGCACTCTGCCTAAGGATGATACAGTTTCAATTCTCAAGGAGTATCATCTATAATAAATATGAAACACTTACATATGAAACAATCAATAAGCAATCCAAGATATAGAACAATTAGTGTGACCAGTAAAACAATAGTATTGACATAAAGTATAAAGTTGTGTGCTACAAATACAGAATGGCATGTAATTAGCTAATTGTTTAAGTGCAAAGTGTTCATTCTGAGCACTATTGGTATTTAAATCAGAGATTCATTGAATTTTTTTAAATTTCAGCTTTATTGAGTTTTTTGTTGTTGTTGGAGAGACTCATGTAATTTAATATGAGTGTTGCTTAAGTAAGGCTGTTATGTTCAGAACACCGAAACAGATGAAGTCCTGCCTTGAGAGTATGGTAAGAAATTGTACAAAGCTAATGTAATGTATCAAGTCTCAGGTAAATATAAGTGAGCTTCTTAAAAATACAGATTTTTATTGATTTCAGAAAGGAGCAGAGAGGGAGAGAGAGATAGAAACATCAATGATGAGAATCATTAATCATCTGCCCCCTGCATATCCCCTACTGGGGATCCAGCCCGCAACCCAGGCATGTGCCCTGACCAGGAATCGAACTCCTGGTTCATAGGTCAATGCTCAACCACTGAGCCATACTGCTGGGCATAGTAAGCTTTTTAACAATTTCAGAAGGAAGGGGAGATTGCAGCAGGTAGTGCTAGTCTAGGAAGACTTCTATTTTTTATAAAATATTTTTTATTATTATTGACTAGAGGCCTGGTGCACAAAATTCGTGCATGGGTGGGGGATCCCTCAGCCCGGCCTGCACCCTTTCCAATCCAGGGATTGGGCCTAAACCGGCAGCCGGGCATGCCTCTAGCAATCCAGGACTGCTGGATCCTAACTGCTCACCTGCCTGCCTGTCTGATAACCACTAACCCCTCTGCCTGCCTGCCTGATCGCCCCTAACTGCCTCTGCCTCGGCCCTGCACCCAGGACCCAGGATTCCCTCCTCCAACCAGCTGCAGGAACCCGGGACTGGTCTTCACTCCCTCTGGTCTTCGCCCGGGCAGGCCACAGTCACAGGGGACCGTGGATGGGCGGCTTCACCTGGGCCAGCCACAGGCACCCGGTACCGTGGGGCGGGCGGCTTTTCTCTGTCTCATGGGCCAGTAGCACTGGTGCCCAGGACTGCAGGGCAGGCAGCTTTTCTTTGTCTCCAGGGCCACAGGCGCTGACGCCTGGGACCAAGGGGCTGACGGCTTTTCTCCATCTCCCAGGCGGCAGGCTTTTCTCTGTCTCCTGGGCCGCAGCCGCAGGCGCTGGCACCCGGGACTGCAGGCAGGTGGCTTTGCCTGGGCCCGGCTTTGTCGGGAAGGACGTCTGGAAGGTTGTCCAGAAGACTTCCAGTCTAATTAGCATACTACCCTTTTATTAGTGTAGACTAGGGGCCTGGTGCATGAAATTTGTGCACTGGGGAGTGGGGGTTCCTCAGCCCAGCCTGCCCCCTCTCACATACTGGGAGCCCTCTGTGGATGTCCTAGTGATGGCTTAGGTCTGCTCCCTGCTCCCCTTGGGGAGCGGGCCTAAGTCGCAGTCTGATCTCCCTTTGTGGGAGGTGACTGGGCTAATCAGGGGAAGGCACCAGCCCCATCACCCCACTGCTGCAGCACTGCCAGCCACTGCAGCCAGCAAGGTTTTTTCATTAACACAGACTCCAGTCCCTTCACCATGAAAAAATGACAGCTTTCTTTAGGCATTTTCAAGATGTGTCTTTCATATAATAATTTCTTTATTTTATTTTTTTTATTCTCACCTGAGGATATGTTTCCATTGATTTTTAGAGAATGTGGAAGAGAAAGGGAAAGACAGAGAGAAACATCAAAGTGAGAGGAACACTTTGATTGGTTGCCTCCTGCATGAGCCCTGACCTGGGCCCCGGCCAGGGAAGAGCCTGCAACCTAGGTACACGCCCTTGGTAAGAATTGACCCCAGACCCTGCTATCGGCAGGCCAAGGCATTATCCACTGAGCCAAACTGGCTAGGGCAGGATATGACATTTCTTACCCCTCCAGCAACGGACCTTTGTGTTTTTTTGTCAGGAGTGTAGTGAAAAACCCTAGATCACTTTTTTGGATTCTTATTACCCAAGTTACTAAGAATATTACCAGTGGCATCCAGGGAGCTTAGCCAATGAGCGATCAGAAAAGGTGTTTCCTTTGTAGTTCACACCAATCGCCGGCTTGGCCCCCTCGGCCCAGGCCTGACGCCTCTGGCCCAGGCTTCAGGCCTGGGCAGGGGACCTCCATCTCCCCCAATCACCTGGCTTTTGGGCGGCTTCTGAGGCTTCTGGGGCTGGCCCGGATCAGATCCGATCACTGGCGGTAGGCAGGCAGCTTCTGGGGTCGCACACGGGGGCCTGGATGGCGGCTCTCCTGCTGGCAGCTACGCTGTCCTGCCCTGCCTGCAGTATGCAAATTAGCCGCCATCTTTGTTGGCGGTTAATTTGCATATTGTGCTGATTAGCCAATGAGAGGCATAGCGAAGGTATGGTCAATTACCATGTTTGTCTATTATTAGATAGGATTTTTAGAGAGAGAGGAAGGGAGAAGGATAGAGAGATAGAAACATCAATGAGAGAGAAACATCATCAATCGGCTGCCTCCTGCACACCCCCTACTGGGGATCAAGCCTACGACCCAGGCTTATGCCCTGACCAGGAATCAAACTGCAACCTCTTGGTTCCTGGGTCAACACTTAACTGCTGAGCAACACTGGCTGGGCTAGGAAGGCTTCTTAAAAGGAGGATGTGCCCTAACTGGTTTGGCTCAGTGGAAAGAGCATCGGCCTGTGGACTGAAGGGTCCCAGGTTTGATTCTGGTCAAGGGCATGTACCTGGGTTGCGGGCACATCCCCAGTAGGGGGCGTGCAAGAGGCAGCTGAATCAATGTTTCTCTCTCATCGATGTTTCTAACTCTCTATTTCTCTTCCTCCCTCTCTGTAAAAAAAAATCAATAAAGGGATTTTAAGTCTCAAGTAGAGAGAGGGTGGTTACATAAGCAAAATATTCTGTAGCAGTGCTGCTCAAACTTTACACACGTGGGAGTCTGTGCTGTGAGATTCTTTCCCTTCCCCACATGGGAGTCTGTACTTGTTCTTCAATAAATTTCCACCTTTGCTATAAAAAAAAGAGAACGGTTATGTTGACAGGGGATAGAAGGAGTAATTTGTTTGGAAAGTGCAGGAAAGGTGGTACTCCTGCAGAGAGTGAGTGGATCTTAATTTCAATGCCATTTTGATGAGCGTTTGCTATTTTGTCATAAAACTTTTAGCCTTAATTACCAATGACCTGCCTCATCTTTTCTTTCCATCTCTTATCAGTGAAGCTATTAAGTACCTCACAGAAGCTCTTCAGTCTATCAGTGAAGTAGAGCTTGAAGATGCACTGGAAAAGATCATTGATGCAGTTGAAAAGCAACCCTGTAAGTAGCATTCTGATAGCTCTTAAATTGTTAGTATACTTCTACATCCTTAACAGACTTAGAGATTTGAGTAGAAGTTGAGGATTCCGTACGAAGATGTCCCAGCCTTATGGGACATACCCCTGGTAGCACTTCTTCCCAAGGGGTAACTTCTAGTTCCTTTGGAACCTCAGTACATTCCCCAGAGATTCTTTTACAGTTCTTCCCCCTCATAGAGCTGTCACCTCCATATTTCTGCACTTATCTTCTGATTTTGATCTGATCCTTTAGGGTCACTTTTGTCTTGCTGCAGGCCTATAACTTTGTCTTACTTAAGTACCCCTAACTGTTGGGGGTGGAGGAAAAAAGTGAGCCTAGCTAACTCCCTTCTTGCTTCAGCCTTTCTTCAGGGACCTTTTGGTTAAGTACTTAACTTTTTGCCACAAGTATAGGCCTACAAAGGGGAAGTGCTCTTCTAAAAAAAAAAATGTTCACTGTTTCTGGAGCACTGAAGGAGAGAAGAGGATGTAGCTTGCTCTCATATGGTGGATAGATGTCAGTTTCTTAATTAAAAAGGAAGAAACATGTTCTATGCTATAGGAGAAATTACTGTATATCTCATTTTCACTTCTAAAGGTAGATTTTTTAAAAAATCTTATTTTTTCCATCCCTTCTATGCCCTCTTCAACCCTCTCCCCTCTTAATTATACTATATGCTTCACAGCTACCAACAGATCAGATCATAAACATTCTCACATCAACCATGTCCATGAGTTCTCCCTTTTTTTCCCTTTTTTGGTCAATCCCTCTAATCCCACAGCACCTGACCACTACCACCACCAGAGCTGTCTCTTGCTCTCTATCTATAAGTCAATCTCTATTTTGCTTGATAGTTCACTTTGTTCATTAAATTCCACATATGATGAAATTATATGGTACTTGTCTTTCTCTGACTGGTGTATTTCACTTAGCATAATGTTCTCCAGGTCCATCCATGCTTTTGCAAAGGGTAACTTTTTTTCCCTTTTTACAGCAGAGTAGTATTCCATTGTGTAAATGTACCACAGCTTTTTTATCCACTCATCTACTTATGGACACTTGGGCTGCTTCCAAATCTTGCCTATCCTATATAATAAAAGAGAAACATCTAAATTGACTGTCCCTCCGCTACGCTTACCAGCCAATCAGGAGTGAGTATGCAAATTAACCCGCCAGGCACTGGGCGGAGAGCAGAGCGGGAGAGCCAGAAGCTTGGGGGGACGTGGCTCCCTCGGTTGCTCCCCCAAGCTGCCAGGCGGAGAACAGAGTGGGAGAGCCAGCAGAGAGTGAAGCAGCGTGGGGAACTTGGCTCCCCAAGCCACCAGATGGAGAGCAGAGAGGGAGAGCTGGCGCTTGGAGGACTTGGCAGAGTGGGAGGCTGTGGGACGGAGACAGAGCAGGAAGGGAAAACCAAGAGCGCAGGGAGCACCAGGAATTCTGGGAATAGTAGTCTGGTGGCAGGCCCAGGACCTGAAGTGGAATCCCAGAGCGCGCAGAGCATTAGGAATGCTGGGAATCATAGTTCTGGTGACAGATGGATATAGACACTAGAGTAAAGTGAGCCTGGAGCACTGTTGCGGTGGGGGATGGAGGGAAAGCAAAGGTGAGAGACATAAGTAAAATCAGAATGTCTAGGAAAAATTAAAGGGAAGATATCCTAAAACTTCCAGGAAATCTCCACCAATGAATCAAAGAAAAAAAAATGCCTCTATTATTCTGTGAGCAGCAAACCAAACTGGGTTCGGGGTTTCAAACAATTCGCTCATATGATTCCAAATACAAACAGAAACTTCCAGATTGGAGAGGGCTCCCCTGAAGGCTCCCAGATTGCAGAGAGTGCAGGTCAGGCTGAGGAACCCACCCCCAGTTAACAAATCTTCGTGCACAAGGCCCCTAGTTGTAAATAACACTGCAATTCCCAGAAGTAGAATCACTGGGTTATAAGGCAGTTCCTTTTTTTTTTTCTCTTCAGGTAACTCCATACTGCTTTCCACAGTGCGTGTACCAATCTGCATTCCCACCAACAGTGCACAAGGGTTCACTTTTCTCCACACCCTTGCCAACACTTGTTTGTTGACTTATTGATGACTAGAGGCCCGATGCACGAAATTCGTGCAAGAGTAGGCCTTCCTTCCCCCAGCTGCTGGCACTGGCTTCCCTCTGGCACCTGGGACTGGGCTTCCC